TAATATTTTAACTAAACAGAATCAATATCTGAGACTAGCCCTGTAGCAAGCAAGGGAGAAAACCCTTTAGACCAATTGTCTTCTTTCAAGAAAGACAAGATTACGAATATAACCTGATTAACAGACACGGAAGGTTGCGAATTATTAGAGCAGACAAAAGCCGTTCAATGAGAACGACAACCTATTTCTATTGTTTCGTTCTCTAAACCCTCAATAACCTTATAGATGAGTGGCATATTTTTTTCGAACAAACTGTTGCCATCCATGCTAAAATCGGGTTCTAGTTACGAGTCAAGGGGACTCAAGAGTTAGATGATGAAACAGTAAGAGTTCGTTCTGCAACGCAACAAAAGATTAAGAGACTACTCGATATAAACCAAAAGCTCTTTTGTACTGATTCTTTGTCAACTTAGAGTGAGAAAAATGAGAATAATGGAGAGGAACAGGTACATAAATGAAAAGAGATAAGCAGACGAGCATATCACACTGTGAGACTTAAGGTTGCAACATCTGTTAGTCATAAATTGTTTGGAAATAGGACGTCAAGCAGACAAAACGAAGATAATTAATTTAATCTTAATTGCATTGCCATACAGTGCCACTGCTTCAGCGTTTCACATCGCTGTGGTCCTCTCAGCAGTGAATTCAACTCCCTCTGACCTCCGCGATCGGATTCGATCTTTTTCCGTGGTTAACGAAACTTGGAATCCCACAATCTGACATGAGACTGTCTAATCACCGATTAGTAATGTTTGTGATACTCTTGTCACCTGTTGTCTAGCAGTGTGATAATGCCACTCCTGCTGTGATCAGTCGAAGTTCACTGGGCTTGCTAAAGACTCGCAGCCGGGATAGGTAAAGAGCATGTCCTTTGTTGCAGCTTGACCATCAGACTGATCGATGACTGAACACGATCGATCGTGTCGGGCCCACACAAGAGGAAAGATCATGAATCCTATGCTGCTTNATGCTGCTTCAGCATCGGTAGGGAATCGGTAATGGAGTGATGCACCATCCTGGAAATTCGGAGTGGAAAAAAGTTGGCGCGATGATGATATTATGCTAGCACTTGATTAGTCTTAGATACAGGCAATATTTTTCAAAGGGGTTCTGAAAAAGTATATCATATTTAGAGTCAAAGATCGCTCGCAGTCGAACACACACAACTAGACAACAGGTGACAAAAAGAGTATCATAAACATTGCGAACCGGGTATTAGACAGTATCGTGTCAGGTTGAGGGATTCCAAGTTGCACAAATCGCGGCAAATGATTCAATCCGTCCTAGGAGAACTTCAGAGGAAGTTGAATTAGTTGAAGTCATGGGTGAGAGAAACGAGACGATGTGAAACGATCGAGTGACCGCACTGTATTTCCTGTCACTTACTATAGTCAACTGCCATGCCAAATGATCTCCTCTTCGAGGTTGATCTTCGTTAAGATTGTAAAACTGCTTTTTTATCGCAGCGATCTACATCCACCTCAAATAATTCACAGAACGATGTCATAATCCTCACCACAAAACAAAATCCAGAAGAAACACAACGTATTTCACTTGTATGCTTTCGCGATACACTAGCCGTCTTCACTTCTTGCGTTATGATCCTTGCACTAATTTATTATTAAACCAGAAATCCGTACGTTTGTTTGTTCATGATGGAAACTCCATAATTTTCATAACCATGGTTATAATGCGACCGCTGTACATCGGGTGTCGGGGACATTCCGTTTCATTTAATTATCAATCAGAGTATTAGAGCATTAGATCGCTGACTTATTATTTTCGCCTATTGAATACACGTTTTCATGTGTTCTTAGATTTGTGGAAATTTATCTTGTATTTCAACTGAGTTCCATGGTGCATTTGGTACATTCAAAAGTTGGGGGAAAATTCGGGGCTGTATTCCACTGGAATTTTTCGTTTTGTTGTGTGTTGGTACGCTGGCGTATTTTGCCGAAGCCCAATCAATCAACAATCAATTAGCAATGTCCTCATGACTCATACCCACCTTAGATGAAAGTGAATTTGTTTTGGTAATTCAAAACTTGGATGCATGGAAGACATTAAGTTATGCAACGAAAACGATGGCCACAACCTGGCCCCCCTAGGTCAAGTGGAGGTCAACAGACTTCAAACAGCCTGACAATGGAATAACTAATATTTACTCACAGTTGGCCTGTCATATTGCTAGTTGTCTTCACTGTCTATGCGTCACTTGAGCGGAGAATTTGGTATATTACTGTGTATGGAGATTGCCAAACTCCTCATAAGACTTTTGCTGGTTAATCATAAAGCGCTATGTGATGGCCGATGAACCCGGGAAAGCTCAGTCAAAGAAAACTTCAACAAAATCTTAATCGTAAACCTGTGTAGATAAAATCAAATTGAGATTTCACAGTATTTCGATATGTTACGCTATTCCACCAGATTAGTTCTTCATTGTGTAAAAGGACTAACAATATGCGAGTTTCAAATAATCCAATATTTGAGGGGTTGTTACGGGGCCTCAGTTGCGCTGACAAACGTTTTTTAACCCTGATTCAGACAAGATAAACTGTGCGAAACATGGAAATGAACTGAGAAATACCTGAAATGGTGCAATATCGAAATTGTTTTCTGTGATATGCACGGTCTCCGACGGTTCCTCCTCGTCTGTTCCGCTATCCATTCTATTGCGTTCTGCCGGTGACTATTTTTTGACCTCGGCACGTAATACGTCTCCTGTCTTGTGTTCACTCGATTGATCAATAAATTGTTGTGAAAAAGTGCAAACACCTGTCACGTGTATTATTTGTGTGTTATAAATTACATCACTTGGCCGCTCGAACACTTCTGTAGAACAATAATTCCAAGCAATCTCAGGCATCCCAATACTGAAAATAAAACAAACACATATGGCACAACATTTTCGTAAATACGACTTTCACCGTTCCATTGCGTTCAGTAGGTTACTGCATTACGGTCCATTCAGTTAACGCTACCGAACAAGTTGCAGAAAATCAATAGTTCTCTTTTATCGAAGGAGCGAGTTTCATCGTACACCATACACTCCATTATTTGTCTATCATTCATTCTCCTGGTAGAAATTTCATGATCAAATGGATGCCACTTACTGCTCCTTAAAAGGACCATCAACTGCTGAATGTCAATTTTGTTACGCAGCACTGTGCATACTCGTCTGATTGGATAACCGAGTCAGCTATGTTCAGTTTTACTGTAGTAGATCAATTTGGTCGATTGCGTCTCCTTACGAGTGGGTACTCATGACGAAGAATGAATACATCTATCTCAATTGAAAGCCCTTGGAAGTGTTTTACAGTTGTGTTATGTTTGTGAATATGGTGCGCGTTCACCGAATCCATCCAGGTCCGTGGTTTGTTCCCGTTCCTCAGCGGGCTGACACTTAGTAGCATTAACACTGCTTGATATATATATATATTTATATATATATAT